TTGTTGCATGCTGCATACGAACTCCAAGATATGTCCATGAGTCATGCTGAGGTAGTCGATGAGCGATAACCCATCCAAGCTTCAGGTCTTTCTCGAACTAAAAGCGTGAGGACAGTCCATCTGCAGCCTTGGCTCTCATGTCTTTCCTTCATTACACCCTAGTTCCGACACTAGCACGAGAATAAAGGCTGCTACGAGCTAGATATAAGTGTGCATACTTTCCCCATTCGGTGAGAGCACTTTCATCAAATCTAGAATTTCGATATGGACCAACCGGGACATTGCTGTTGGAATTTGTCCCAATCGATTATGTAGCGGCTCCCACATTAGCATGACTTTCTCGTGGCTGCTGTATGCATCGCGTAGATTACCACAGAATGAAGATTGCTGTCCCTGTTTCTTGTAGGGGATATTCACCTGTTCTTTCACAGATTGGCCGCGATCCACAGTGTTTGACGTCTTCGATATACTCTTGTGGACCGTCACAGTGCTCACAAAGTCACCGAGTTTAGCCGGTTGGACTCAAAGCTCTCTTCTTGTATGCCGAATATGTGTACAGCGTAAGAATAGTGCTGATGAACCCACCAGTTGACTGAGGTTTTGTGGGATCACCAAGTAATCTCATAATTGAATCCTGGGCGTTGGATCACTCAGAAATCTCGTGAACCATCTAGTTAAAGGTTCATATCACGAACCAGGAAAGGATATCGATGGCCACTGCCTAAGGTGTGCCGGTTGGATGACAACCGACATACTCACGTAAGTTAAGATAGAAAGACGCGCGTGAGTGAGTGAGAGCCTTTGGTATAGTATATTGGGCAATTTTTAATAGCCCCAGTCTTGCTGTATGTTCTCGTCTAGTTCTTCTCACTTGCTTTATTCTTCTATTGGAAGGTTTCTCGGCTTCAAGGATGGGTATGTAGTGATTTCCTTGGGCTGGTTAAGAGGTATGTAAGAACCGCGGATAAACTAGACAGAGAGTTGATGATGCGGAGAAAAGGGAACTGGAAATATATATTATCGGTATGATGATCGTGAATCAGATATTCCATTTCTGAGGTATTGAGAGTCACTCTAACACTCTATTCCCTTTGAAAGGGGAATGGGATATGATCAAAATTCAAAGTAGTCCCTAGCACAAATTCAATGCATTTCATTCATAGAGTGAAGCACAGAAACTGGCAAATACTCAGAGAATGATCAACTTCATGGGTGATCTTGAGTTTCCCATATTGCATCATGGAGAATTCCCATGATCCAGCTATTTACTAGTTGAGTCGACCATAGTTACTCTGAGTTTTATGACACATTCTTGCCTGCACATCTTCACCTAATAAAGGTACCTCGCAAAGTGTCACTAGCTAACCCTAATTTGAATCCTGACTCCGCCCACTCTTTGTCAAGCATTGCAACATCAACCCTTATTGAGAAATTTGCAAAACGATACAAGGACAAATAGATCCCTATAGTAGATAGCACGCCACGTCTCATAGAATAGAGCCATCGTGGTCTAGATTAAAGTTGCAAAGACGGCCCATCCTCGAGATCCTGGATTATAAGGCTTAAGCTTATCCTCGATAAGCTTCTCTCCAGCTGGGGACGTTATTGGTTAGAAAAATCCCTCAACGACTGGATCTCGATTCAGATTACTCTGTATGGAGGATAGTATCTTATGTGCAGATCACTAAAATTGCATCATGTTCATAGTTCTTTGTGTTATAGCTTGATTTGGTGGTTATCGCATTTGGATGTAGTGAAGTCGTGTTCGCTAGATCAGATTTTAATCTTCCATCTAACCAGCACAGGTCACTTGTGGAAAGAATAGGCTGTGTCCTGCCTGAACGATATACTTAATACATTTTGGCGAGACATGATTGCTTCGTTGAAATTGATATACCTATCGCACTTCTAGTTGCATATATGGTGTAGACTAGGTTCAAGCTGTCGTGGATGCAGAAATGTAGGGCTCCCAGCCCTTGTCTTACAGGTGACGCGCACTATATTCCATGGTATTTCTCTTTCTCAGAGCTTTTAAGATATATATATTTCGAGAGGGCCAGTTCTATGGCAATGCCAAGTCAACCTCGTAGTCATAAATTGATAAATCTCCACTGGCAAGCATCAGACTCCATTTATCACTCGAAATTGATTCAGAGCCCGTACAACACAGAATTCTTGTTATTATCGTGTCATGATGGAGAGGATAGATAGATAGCCTGGCAATTGACCGGCTCACTTGTCTACCATTACAGGGGTATCTCCAAGAGCCAACGAGAAAAGTAAATAGCGCAATGACTTTGACAAACCAAAACAAAGCTCATACTGTTCTTCTACCTTTATCTCACGTGGGCCTGAGCCATCCATTGGGGGCCTGACCACTTGACACGTCAGCGCCGAGCACAACCATCGAGAATGGACAGTGGTAGCATAGCATTCTGCGGTATAACATGTGCCCTTTCGCAATCTTCAGAGTACCGTCACACTAAAGAATTATTCTGCCTGCAGTCGGGCGATACATATACCTGTAGAAGTTGTTTCATATCGCGGTTTGGCCGCCATTAGCTAACCCTATATTACCACCACCGGAAGGGAAACGGCGGTATGAGATGCATATCGGAATTCCGGATATAGATAATTGCCTAGAAGAAGTGGGACCAGAGGCCACTCCTGGGATATTTATGGTACCGGATCGAGCGAGACCTGAGCACGCAACCTCGAATGGGCGCCATGACCCATGCCCAAGAGCGTTTGGGATCCCCTGTTGATTGTCTCTCTGGAGCCCCCTGTCGGAAGCACGTCCGGTGTTCTTGGCGGCGCTATATGGCGTTCTTTGTCACTGGTGATAGGTACGAGTACTCGACACTACTCCGGAGTCCTGGTCCATGGCCATCGTCTGGTGGTAGGGCCCGAGTTACGTTACTCGAAACGTGTGCCTTGAAAATAGCAAACTGATCGCCCATTCGATCTGATTTCCCCTGTATTTCACGTTTCACATGTTGAATATGAGCCCCGGGTTATTCTTCCTGGGGCTATAACCCTGGAACTCATGGCGCCGAGACGAGAGCGCAGAAAGACTGGCATTGTCTTAGGGCTCGGGATCTGGCTAGGCTAGTGGTTACTATAGCACCAGAAGTGGAGTCTACCAAGTCAACTAAATTAATAACACCGGATCTCCGGAGGACCAAAACGCCGTACAAAAAGCAAAATGGCTCAACCCTAGCGCCCCTTTGCCCACTGCCACCCAAGAGTTCTCAGGAGGACCACCTCAATCGGAGAGGAGGAATGCAATGCCATAACCACGCCAAGATAGGGGAGTCCAATCGAAAGGGGTGGTTCAGGTCCCGTTGGTTCCCGGGCCCTTGTCTGATCAGTAATGGTTTCGGAGGAAGGCAATGATCTTCGAGAAAATGTCTGCCCATGAGGGAAAAAGCCATCCTCGGCATGCGAGAGCGCAAATGATGGAGTGGGGAGGGAGTTCTTGGCACACAGCCCTATGTTCATTGCCTTGGAATTATGATAATATGGTGTTCGCATAATTAATTCTTTTCATTGTTGCTAGGGTGAAACTGGCTAGCATATAGACTAGTATATGCGCTCCGGCTGAGTTGTCGGACGAAGAACCGGTTGTTCTGCTATTTTGATTCTGCCTCCAGGGTTTGCTCTCGCTCCTACTCTACTCCGTATTGCCCTCTTCGATCGTGTATTTGCATCTATGAGTAGATAACACTGCGAAAATGCCCTCTCTGCTACGGATTTTATGGGCGACGATTTCCCTCCTCAGCCTTACGGCGGCCGCCCCATCCGTGCAGGCTGCCCTAGCTAGCGGCCCGCGACCGATCTACGCCATCGCACACCGAGTTCTCCGAACTGAAGCCGTGACAGCGGCGATCTCCCACGGCGCCAACGCAATAGAAGTTGATCTTCACGCCACAGACGAATGGTGGGCCGACCACGACTGCAAGAGAAATAGCGCCGGCGACACAGCCCGTGAAATCTTCCAGTTTATCGCCGAGGAGCGCAAGAACGGCGCCAACATCACCTTCGTCTGGCTGGACATCAAGAACCCCGATGCATGCCCGCAATACGAACCATGCTCCATCCAGGCCCTGCGCGATCTAGTCCGCGAAACGCTCGAGCCGGTCGGCATCCGGGCCCTGTATGGCTTCTACCAAACGGAAGAAAGCCAGGGCTATAAGGAGATCCTGCACTCGCTGAATGGGAACGAGGCGATTTCTCTCAGTGGCTCTGCCAGGGATGTCTTTGAGCTGTATTTTACGACTTCGCGGTCTCTGCCGGTAAGGCAGAGGGTCATGGACTATGGACATGTCAATATTCAGAAGGATTTCGGGGATTGCCATGAGCGTGGGGGGTGGACTTGTTCGGAGTTGCGCAATGGGCGCTCAGCTCGTGAGAGGGGTCAGCTGGGGAAGGTCTTCGCGTGGACGAGCACAGAGGGGGATACAAGATATGTGAGCGATCTGCTGGAGGTCGCTCAGATTGACGGCCTCATCTATGGGAATCAGAAACATGACTACAAGGATGAAGCCCGTACCAGGAATGCCTTCTGGGATATTCTAGACTTCGTGAACGCTAATCCGGATACTGTTCGAATGGCGACGGCGGATGACGCGCCGTGGTAGGGGATCTTGTGTTTGGATCATTGCTGTCAATTGCGGTCTTCATTGCACCGACCCGATTATGATTGTATCTTCGCCCTTGCAGCTTTGGCATTTGTTCCTCCCTCGCTCGACACTTAACGCCGTGATGATCGACACCATGTGCCTATCCAGAAGGCTGCTCCGAGGGAGGCTTGGACGTACACGTGTACGAGTTCTGGAGAAACGACCAGTCCGGTTCTCACTAGACACGATGCTCAAAGTACGGAGGCGTGGGGTTAATAAAGAGATGAATGGTCAGATCAGACGTCCAGCTAAACAGTGTATATATCTCATTTCTTCCCCACTGTTATAGAATTTCCTGCAACGGGAAACAAATCCATGCTAGCACTTCCTCGCAAAATGGATTCCATCTACCAATCGATTGAACTCGAGATAGCATGACTTGACAACATTAATGACCAGCATAGCAAGGGCATAGATGTAAGCACTAACCGTTGCCAGGAAGGAGGTCGCGTGACCAGAATTGAGATCTTGATGACTAAGGATCGAGTGTAATTAACTATAGTTACTTTTGACTTACATCTAGTTCAAGGCGCCTTTATGGGCGGGAATTTTACGAAGATGGTGTCACCGGGAAATGCAAGGCATACGTTCATCAATTATGCTAGTGACCTCCGTCCAACAATCGGTTAGATAACTAACCAATTCGCGGTCACATCCTTAGCCAAATGCAAATCCCCACTCAGAGCATAGAGGGTCTGTAGGGCCAAGGCGGCCTCGGGAGAGAAGTCTTCGACGAACGGTTCTTGCTCGGATCCTGCATCCCGCATATCCACATCGTTATCCACATGCCTGGTGACTCGCACCGCCGGCTGTGGGCCTCGACCCTCAGCCTGTATCTGCTTCCCCAGTTTTAATACACGCTGGTAGCCTTCTACTGCCAGGTTGGACAGGCCGAGCATGTGCCATACTCGGGCATAGTTGAACTCCATTTCCTGTCGCTCCTGGAGAAGACTCCCGGGCCGCTCTCGCACGCGTCGATATTCCTCCATAAATGAAAGTCCTTGCATGATCATGAAGTGACGGTTTTCAGACTGACGCTTGAGGGCATGATGAATGTAACAGAGGGCGATCGAAAGAAGCACCGTGGCATTTTGATCGTCCAAGGCATACGCACGGAAGAAGTAATTCAAAGCCGGTAGAAAGCTGTTACCAGAATAAAGTATATGGCCGTACAATACCAGAAGAGCAACGTCCATAGCTTCTGCTGGTATAACTTCTCCATTCTCGTCACGCGTCGATAAACGTGCACGCTCCTGATAGATTGATTCTCTCACGGGCTTACTCGACCGCAAGCCCGGGGCCTCGTCCGGGATCGTGTAGTCCATAGCTTTAATCTGTCGCAACATAAATTTCATATTTGCTGACGAATGGAAGAGAGACCGGTGGGGGTCCCCACAGAGGCGACTCAGCATGGAGAAAAGTCGATATGTGTCGGTCACGAACTGATACTCCTTGATGAACCAGCGTGCCTCATTGGCAAGGGTTTCTTCGTCCTGCGCTCGAAGAGCACAAGCTATATCAAGTCAGCTACGAAACGAGCACGGACAAAATGGGTACTCACTGAACCAGCAAACGTGGATCAGGCGAGTGCTGGGTTTAGAATGATACCAAATGCTGGCATCTGCAGCAGCAGCAAGTGAGTCGTACGCTTCTTCTGGTTCACCCTGCCCTGCTACAACAAGAGCGTACTGGAGGAACAAATCAAGCCACTCATCAAAAGATATGCCATGATAGTCAGTCGGTATAGCCCCCTGAAGAGGTTCCTCGGTGATAGTGCCTACGCAGATGTTAGTTGCACAAAAGATACACGACTTAGTGGTTTAATCGTACCTAGAGACTCATGGAGACGACCAGCCATCTCCTGCATCTCTTCCATTATTGTTTGACTCTTGGTCTTTCCAGCCTTTTTCTGGGCTTCTCGAGAGTAGCCAAGAAACATGACATTGCGCTGTAGCGGGTAGAAAAATCGGTTAGACCGAAACTCGCGCAGCAATGCATCGGCAATATCGAGCCAATCCTCCGTGGCTTCGAGCTCGCCTGCCTTGACCCTCGACTGCAGCTGCTGTAGTTTGGTATAAAGGAATTGGATGCTTTCTGTCCTTTCATTTTCGGCCTCCACGGAATCCTTCCGACCGAGCACAGCTGCAGACTTAGTGGTAAGTGAAGGTGCTGTCACATCATTACCTACAGAATCTGGTGCAACTGAACTCAAGCCGGGCGCACCAATTTCGCCTTCAGCTAACTTAAACTCCATTACTAGCTGCTCAAGCCTTGTATCTTTTCGTCGCCGATTTCCCCTGGTTTCTTGCCTCCCAAGTAGAACGGCTTCGTTAACATACTTGAGTGCCTGCTCGGACATGCCAATGGCCTCATATAACTTCGCCAGCTGTACACGGGATTCTATATTTCTCGCATCATGCTCCGCGACGGTAAGATAGCAATTTTCGGCGTCTTCGAGCTTGTCCAGATTCCGAAAGCAATCTCCCACTGCCATGAAGAAACTAACATCTGCATACTCCTCTGTTTGCTGAAGTGGCATGTAGAACCGGAGTGCATCTTCGAATAGTCCTACGTCCTTGAGTGCGTCTGCAACCTCCCGGAAGAGATCCCCGTAATCGAAGAGCCGAGCTCCTTCGGATGTGTCGTCTGGATTGAGCCACCCGAAATGATGCTGTAAGCTTGTGTCAGGAACAAGATCCATGCTAACAAATCCGTCTATATAGGACACTCACCAAAGCTTCATCCTTATGTTGATACCCCATTCTCAGACGGAAAAGGCCAAGTTTGATGCGGAGCTCTAGAGGAAGACCCAGCCCATAAGAGTCTCGTGGCCATCGCCCTGGTTCATAACCGTCAGTTTGATGCGCCGAGGCGAATCACTGGCATCCCATTCGCGATCGTCCTCATCAAATTTTTCCCACATCGTGTCGTTTTTGCGGCCAAGGAGCCATCTAGAGAGCGTCTTCAGGGCCCAGAGTCCCTTTTCGGGTTGGTTTAAGTAGCCATAAAGCTCAGCATAGATATTCACATCCGACCAAGAAAACTCGGGGGCTTCTTCTGGGTCAAGAGATAGAAAATATTCTACGCTGTCTGCCCAGTGATCAACCGCCCTCTGAACATCGTTCAGGTCAATATAGATCTCCGCAATATGTCGCAGAGCCCTAGCGTTATGCGGTAAATCCTTGAGAATCCGCTCGTACTCCGTCGCAGCTCGTCCATTATATCCTAATTCCCGGTAAATGGCGGCCCTTTGGAAGCGTACATTGTAGTTTTTTGGGTTGATATCAATGACACGGCTATAGCAGTAAACAACATCGTTCAGTGTGCTTTGGCGATCCTCTCCAGCCCGCTCCAGGATCATCCGTGCCACTTTGGCCCAAACTGTCGGATCTTTCGGGCGCGTATGTGCACCGCTAAACAAAGCTGTCAATGCTTTGTCTTTGTGGCCCTGTGCTAACCAAATCTCTGATAAGAGAGAATGGGCAGCAAACATCTCCGGGTTGATCTGAATTGCCTGTTTTACCAACTCAATGGCACGGTCATACTCACCATCAATAAATGCCGATGTAGCCTCCGAGTGCAGTATCTTGAACTCGGGGCTAGGCTCTAGTGGTTTGCGAGGTCCACGCTTGATCCCTTTACCACCGCGCGCACCGTAACGACCAGAGAAGGGTCCTGTGCCTCTGCGGCGTCTCCTTCGACGAGAATATGAATCATCATCACCGTCATCCCCCTCATCAGTCAGCTCCTCATCGCTATATCCAAGGTTAGTTTCCAAAAAGTAGGCGACAAACAAAACAACAACAGCCGTGATTTATACTGACGTCGAGCTTTCTTCTGGGGAGAACTCATAAGTAGAATCCTCCGCAGAGTCATCAATTTCAGCATATTCTTCGGCATCCTCGTCTTCATCGAGCGGTATTTCTCCTGGTAACTCTGAGGCATTGCTTGGGAACAGATCCTTATACAAACGGGGGTCCAGCACTGAGTGAATAGGGTCGGGCTGGGCCGTTTGCTGGGGTCCCTGCCACGGGTAGTGTATTGTCTCGTCAATATCAGGGTATGCGACCTCCCCGGCTTGGGAATTGTGATTGAGCTGGTCAGGAACATCCATTTTTACAATTTGGGTATCTGGCTATCCACCAGGGTCTCTTGTCTTGCTCAGCAATTTTCGAGGCCAATTGCCCATAAAAACCCAGTGGATTCTCTTGGGAATCCCAACGCACTCCCACGAACAAATAGTATTAGAGCGACTGGTTGCACAAAAATTATGCGGCACCGTCAGAAAAATAATAGAGCGATAGTTTGGGGCGTGGAACTTAAAGATGCCCAGGACGAAGGCCGATCATAGCTGACTGGGGCTCAGCGAACCAGAATGAAGAATGCAACGGTTGTGTCCACCTTCATGCGAGCGTGTAGAGTATGATATAGATCGATCGACCCTTCTACTCGGTCTGAGATTGGGAGATGTGGAGAAAAATAAAACCAAAAACAAACTAGATAAAAAGGGGATACATTGTAAATCCAACGAAGCAAAGAAAGAGAGATATCAGATGCGCAAAATTATTTTCTTCGTAGCAACAATTAAGCGCCAGTCAACGCTAAGCCAAGACCAACCGGCGCAGAGAGAGGCTAGAGGCTAGAGCAGTCTGTGCAGACGCGGACAAGGTCGCCTTTGATTAAATGGACTCGGACTTGAACTCGAGCAATCGGAGCAGGGTAAAAAAAGACAAACTAAGGGTGTCGTGCGAATAAAGAACCCTTGCCAGTGGAGTCTTTGGAAGCAACCGAGAAGATGGAATTGGATTTTTGATGGAGGGACACTGGAGAGTCTTTTCTCCTTCGGGAAGTCCAGTGACCTCCGGCCGCGCCCAAACGGCAAAGCGCCGTTTCATTGACTTCTTCTCGCTTCTTTGCCTTCTCCGTTCCTCTTCTCAATCTTCTTCAATCTTGTTCCCCGTCCTCATCGCTACCTTTCCCTTTCATCCTCCTCCTGTCTCTTTCTCACCTTCCTTTTTTTTCTCTTCTCTTTTGATGCTTCAGGTATTCTGCTTGTTGTGTTTGACACACTATTGCAGTTGATCCTGACATCCTTTCGTTTAAAGAAAAAAGAAACCCAAAAAAGAAAGGAAAAAAAAGCCCACACTTCCTAATTTATACCCGTTAAACGCTCCGCTTTGCCCACTCCGCGAACCCACCGAACGTTTCTCACCCTTCCGACAAAATCCTTTGATGCTCTTTCGATTCGAATCTTTCGTCAGAACTCGAATCCCGTAGTGCAGCCACTGGACTGGTCTGTGCCTCGCTCGTCGTCGCTTAGGGTCAATTGTGGTTGAGTTTATCACTCCTCAGAAAAGAATAAGACCGTCTCCGTCCTTAGAGAGATCGTGCGAATTTTCTTCGGCCAAAACCGGTTTTTTTTAACGGCCGTGCGACTGTCAATCAGGAGCCCCTCCCTCTCGATCAAGGCTCCTCTCGATACTACGCAAACTCAGCAGGTGCTGCAGGTGTTTTGCAGTAATATCTTCATCTTCTTCTCTCTGTATTGTTATACATCGAAATCGAAGGCAAAAGGAAAGAGAAGCCAGTAAGCGGCTTTTCCTTGATCGACACCACCGTCATTCCTTGCTCCATGGCCAGTCACATCATTGGTAATCGCAATAGCACTCCGGACGCTTCCAAATCCACTCTCCGGCCCCCATCGTCGTCCCGTAACCTAGGTTCGCATCAGCTTCGAGCGTCGGCCGATATGTCGGGATTTCCGTCCCCCTTGTCGTCCCGCAGCATCCGCCCGGCATCAGAGGTGTACTTCAATCAGCAGTCTCAAGCGTCGAACAATGCAGAGGACCCTCTGGATCGTGCGGCTCAACAGTGGCTTGCGGATATCGATCAGTACGAAACCACGCTAGAAGAGATGGCCGCCGCAACGCTTGATCAGGATTTCAAGGATGAGCTCAGTGCGATCGAGCAATGGTTCCGTGTGCTCAGCGAGGCGGAACGCACTGCTGCACTGTATGCTCTGCTTCAGCAGACTACTCAGGTACAGATCCGTTTCTTTATCCAGGTTTTGCAGCAAATGGCCAAGAGTCACCCCATGTCGGGATTGCTGTCACCTGCGAACTTTGGAGAAAAGGGTAAGTTGACTGTTTGGTGGTCCTAAGGATGCTTTGTTCTTGCACTAACGTGTTCCGACTAGATGCTATGTCTAACCGCCTGAATGACGCTATGTCCAAATTGAACGTGGACAGCTCTCGGAACTCTTTGGGTCGTCCCCCGCCCTCTCCAGGTGCCAAGCGCAACTCGGGGCTGGACTCCTCGACCATCAATGCTATGTTCCCTGACGCCGCTGCTGCTATTGCGAAGAAGAAGGCCGAGTTCACCCAGCAGACTGGCAACGCTCCCCCCTCCAACCGTAACAGTGCTGTATTCGGCGATCGGACTTCATTCGTTGCACCTACCATCTCCGCTCCGGACACAATACGGACAACCTAGGTCAACCCCCTGTATCTCCATGGGCCCAAAGGGGCCCCGATAGCCAACCGCCAATTGCTCGACCCAAGTCGTCCTCTGGCCACCAGCCCATGGGGCAGTTCAGTCAGGCGTCTTCTGGCCTCCGCTCTCCCCTCCCCCAGACTGCTACGATTCCTGCGCCCGAAATCGAGGCTCCTCTTTTGTCGCCGTACAATGTTGGTAATGCCAGCTGGGCTTCCATGACCAACACTCCGATGACGGCTACTTTCGCGCAGCAGCAACAGCAGCAAAACTCGCAGGCTGATATGGTGGCCAATGCGACGGCGATGAAGCTGGCTGCTCTGTCGACTGTGAACAATCGTATTGCGCTTGATGATGCTCGGAAATATCGTCGTGCCCGTTCCAACGACGGACAAGGAAAGAATGCTAATGCCAACAATGTCAATCAGAACATGCCTCAAGGCGGCCTCGCAAGCCCGGGTCTCCCAGGCCCCAACCACCTGGTTGCTGGACAACTTTTGAACGCACAACAGCTGGCAGCGCTCCAGGCGCAGCAGCAGGCCGCTATGGCGGGTCGGCGTTCTCGCCCAACATCCCCCGGAATTGCTATGCAAGGAGGCGCTCTCGGCCCAATGGGATTCACGTCGCCCCAGAACAACGGGTTCTTAGCAGCGTATGACCCGAATAACCCTCTCATGGGCAATGGACTGGGTGCGCTTGGCATTGGACAGTTTGGCCTCGGCGGTCATGAAGGTTATCTCTCGGATCACTCGGAGGTCACTCGCGGCCGCTCGCCACGAGGCCGTCGTGGCAGCTCGAAGCCGCCAGAGGATCCCACCGACCCTGCTCTGTTGAAGGACATTCCCAGCTGGCTGAGGTCTCTGCGTTTGCATAAGTATACCGAAAACCTGAAGGATCTGAAGTGGACTGAGCTAGTTGAGCTTAACGACAAAGCTCTGGAGGAGCGTGGTGTTAATGCTCTTGGGGCCAGAAACAAGATGCTCAAGGTGAGTTGATCGCTGGACATGGTAGAGTAAACTTTGGGTTCTAACGGAATTATAGGTTTTCGAACAGGTCAGGGAAGCCAAGTCTGATGGCAAGCTTGACAACATTATGTGACGGAGGACGTACTGTCCCTCTGTCTTGGTTTTTCCTTCTTTTTTTTTTTCGTTCTAACATTCTCTCCATTGCATTAATTTGATTAGATTGAAATTGGGCATAAGTGGCAGGATCCGATTATATCCATGAGCGATTCATTGGATGACCCTTTGGGGAGGAGAGTTGTGTAATAATCGATTCGAGACGTTGTCTGATCCGACGTTGGATGAGTGACTGAAACTCTGTATGTATTTGTTTGATGGATTTGGCTATTGGGATGCCTTCAACAGTTCCCGAACCCTTGACGCCGATGGGAGACCCGGTTGTGTCCCAGATGGAACGAGGCCAGGAAAATGGTTTATGACAAGAATGAGGCTTGACTGATTGGCTTGAAGCTTTGATGTTATGTTAAGTATATTACTGATTAATTAACGACCACCATCTATACGGAGTGAAGTGATTCCCTTACCTGCACTACCATGTCTTGATCTATCTACCTGAACAAATAGAAACAAAATCACATATGAATCACGTTTCATGAATTCATTCTGTCTGTCCTTCACATCAACAAGCTCCTGCAGCATCCATCCCCTTGTGAAACACCTGCTATTCTCCATATCTCTTTGGGCTCAGTATCTGCCAAATAAGCATAGCATATGCTGGCCTCACCGTATAACTAAGACATAGAGTTAATTACACTGGCTATTTCCGTCAGGTCAGCCTTGTTGGATTTATCAATACAGCATGTATCAATCCAGATATGAGCAAAGCCATCATCATTGGCTACACGGCAGCTTGATAAGATTTCCTTGAACCCCTTTGTTGTTTGGAACGTCATAGTGTGAGGTAAGCGCGTATCTAATTGTATAGAAAAGAAGTGTCTAGAATGTGGTTCTTTTCGCGCAACGAACCGTACAGCTGAAGAGGATAGTAGTTGGAGGGGGTATTTAGGGAGCCAGGATCCGTATCTGCAAGTGATCAGACTAGCACTAGGGCTTATTTTTGCTTCACTATAAGTAGATTTGCAGAGGACCTATGTGTAAAGTATTCGAAAGTCCAAAAGCAGCGTCTTTGTCACTTGTTTCTAGATATTGTGCACATTAGTATCTCCCGTCGGACGTTGCGTCCACACTTTGAAGCTGCTTATATCGTCGAAATACAGTAATGAATAATTAGCAAATACATTACCTTCCTTTAATCTAATAACTATCGTGAATTCGCATAATCAAGTTGTACTTCTTTCTTAGTGAAACCGTTAAGATAACAAGTAACCAGCGACTTGTCATGATTAGGGCATAGTCACCGCATACTAGAAGCCTGATTCATGACAACTAAATTGACAGCCAAATCCGGGGCGTCCGACGCCTCAGCCAGCCTCACACACCCATAGCAGGTAATGTCTCAGGTGCCCAATGATGGCTGTAAATAGTGTCTTTGCCAACTCCACTATTTCGGACTTGTGCAGGGATCTCGCCCCGTAAGCGGGATCTTCAGCGTGCAGAAGTCGTTCCTCAAGACCATTCAATCGATTCGTGGCTTGCGGGATTTGAAAGGATCCCACCCCAACTTCCCTAAAAAAAACAGGTTGTCTGGGGTACATGCGGTGATTGCCGAAGTAATCTGCAGCCATGTTCCAGTTGCAACCAGTCAACCAACAGTCCGTTCCTGCCGAAGTACGCAATATGGGTTCGCAGCTAAGCTGAGCCTGTTCATGTGCTGTGCCATCGTGGCTCTCATTGGATTGTGCTTTGCAGTTGGCGCTTCGCATTTATGCTTGTGCTTGTGTCACTTCTACTAGCGTGGGAGTAAGACAGCGTGCGCTTGGTTTGTGAAGCATACCGTTCTTGTCATACCTTCAACCTCGAAGGGAAAACGCTGGTGCTACTGGCCTTTCCTGACATTCTGGTAGTCAGAGGTCCCGTCCTTGCACGACGGAGAGACGAGATTCCAGATACTGACGCTACAGTAGAGCGCACGGTGTGTTCTGTATGCTCATTCTATCATTCTAAGTGTTAGAGAACCTTGGATCGGTCTGGACTTTCTAAGAGTCCCTCCGGCTAAACGGAGATCTTAGTCGGACCGCTATAGCAATGCCCCTGTTCTCCCTCATCAAGTACGCACCCCTGTGATAGTGACAAATAGACAACAGTGGCTGACTGAATGAAGCAAAAGGCCCTACGGTCGTCTAGCTAGTGTCGCCGTCGATTGGTTCTGTTCATCAGCGTCTAGCATTATACCAGGGACGACGCACTGGGCATGACGAAGTCTTTCCAGCTGACCCTCCCATGAACAGATGCATCCTGTCACCTTCACAGCTGAAGGATGCGAGGTGTTGTGGAGCTGAGAGTATGGCCTGGGGACGTCCTGCTCACAACAATTCCAAATATCGAGTCTCTCAAACCTATAAGAAGAGCGACGAATCCAGCTCAGTCAACTGCAGAGCTCTAACAATCATCATCTCAAAACACAGTTTCATCAGCAATACCACTCTTTGTTCTTCAAAATGAAGCCTTCTCAACTCAGCCTGCTGGTCCTTTTCTTCCAGGCCTCTTCCATTCAGGCCAAGATGTTCAAGAAGAATGTCCCGACATTCGAAGTTGGCCCCGATGTGGTCATCACCGACAACAAGATCGAGTACGATGACCCCGACTGCGAGCCCGGGTTTACCTGCAGAACAAGCAAGACCTGTGCCGCACCGGGTGCCGTTCCCACTCTCACCAGCGACAAGAAATATTTTGCCTGCTGCTTGAAGGGACTGAACCTTCTGGGTAGCCCCGAGACAGCATTCGACTGCTGTGCCGAAGGCCACGACCTTGCTGGCTCCGGCGAAGTTGGCTATAGGTGCTGCCCAACTGGGCAGATCTATGACGGCCTGATCTGCAAGCCGGTATGTGAGAACGGCAAAGTCCTTGTCGACGGCAAGTGTGTCTGTCCAAAAGACACGGTCGAAGGCCCGGACGGGGCCTGCCATAAGCAAGTCTGCACCTCCGGATTAACATCTGGTAAGTTTCCTGTTACCCCTCACATGGACCACCTACTCATAGAACCCCCCTTTCTAAGGAAAATGCTACACCTTCACCGCGCCCAACGGCAACACCCTAGGCTCCGGCGCCGACGGAATCTACTACGCCAAACCCGACGACATGAACTTCCACTACGGTAAATTCCAGCTGTGTCTTGACGAGAAGTGTGAAGGGGATCTGCCCGTCAACCCCCAGGACGGAGTGTACATCCGAGACCTATACGGCGACGTCAAAACCGGCGCCAACAAGGGCCAATGGCTCAACAACGCAAAGGACGGCGCCCACATCGGCAAGACCAAGGACTTTGCTTCAGCCGGCAAATTCTCTTTGAGCAAGTGGCCATGCGGAAAGTACTGTCTCGGAGGCGTCGAGTGGGGTGTCGGTCCCGCTTGTCCTTCTCTGACGCCTGCCATTACTTTCTTTTCGCAAGATCCGCAGATGTGCACGGCCTTCGATCTCACGGAGATTCCGTGCGATATCAAGGCACCTGTCAATAACTGTATCTGGAAGAGTGGAAGGAACCAGTGCTGTGGTAAGGTTGATTGTAGCCTGTGATTGGCATCAGTAGTATGACTTGCATCCTGGTGTAGGAGGATGGGGGTATAATTTGGTGATTTAGTCTGGGTTTTGATAGTAGTGATAGTGGTAGTTAGCTACTGGACTAGAAATTGAGGACACTGGCTTTATTATTATTATTATTTTTTTTTTTTACATAACTCTCCTATAACTCAACCAAAAGAAACAAGTCCTTCACTTCACTATAGATACAAAAGCCCTAACAAGCCTCAGGCACCAACAAAAAAACCCACTGACTAAGCAAGCCCCAGACCCACCAAAAAGCGGAACCAAGCAGCAGAATACACCCCAACTCGCGACATCATCAGCAAAAGCCGCGATGATCCCGAGCCCCAATTCTCACGATTGCGATTAATATCTGCTAATTGAACCGACTCCCATCTTGAAATAGGGGCCGTCTAGCTAGCCTTCACTTCAAGGAGCTCCGAAGAAGACAAAAAAACACTCTATCCGCAAAACCACTCTACCAAACACCAAGAACGAAAGCCTTATTAAAAAGAGAAAACGAGGATTGAAAATGCCGCCAACAAAACAGGAAATCTCGCTTTTGATCAATCCGCTGGTCCCGGAGTCGGTGCAGCATAATAACCGCGTACGTTGTTCTCTGATCTTGTCCTGGGGTGTTGAGTCCGATGGATGGATATACCTGAAAGAAAGAGAGAGAGAGGGAAAGGAAGGAAGATAGAAAGAGCTAACTAACAAAACTAAATAGATTCTTGCAAACCTCCACTCCATCACCTCCTTCCTCCTGGGTCTCACGGCCGGTATCCTCGCCCTGCAGTCCGCAACGGGATTCCTATTCTACCTAGCCGGGACGGTCCTCGTGTCTGGTGTTTTCCATGTCTTCCTGCTGCAGCACTCGAAGGGCCAGGGCGCGGGTGTGTTCTTCCCCGGGCCGAACATGGGCGAGATCGAAGGGATCGATGACAAGGGCATGGTGTGGGCTTCTGGGAGGGAGATGAGGAGGAAGGACTCGTGGCGGGATGTGTGGCTTGGGGGTGGTGTGTTCGGGGAGGCGCTGTCTGGGTTTGTGCTCGGGTGGGCTGGTGTAGGGGGTGTTTTGAGGTGATTTACGGACTGTTTGTGTATCGGGGGGGGGGGACTAATGAGGGGGGCTTTCCATGCTCCATTTAGTAGTAGAATGTTGTTTGATTATGCAACTATTGTGTCTATATTATATCTATTTGGGTTCCTGAATGCGAGGGTCTTATGAATTATTGAAATCGGCGGACTTGATGTTGCTTTCTGGCAAGATCTTGTTGGTCTTTTTGTATGAGTCGATGTTGCCCTGGAGAGTGTTAGTGCCAGCTACAGAGAGTCGATGGGTGAGGATGGACAAGGGAAATACCTTCAACAACGCCCACAGATACGGCACGTAGATCACTTCACTGTGGCTGCTCTCATCCTGCAACGCATTCCGCTGCTCCTCATCCGTCTTCGGCTTGGGCTTAATCCACACATTACCGATAAACATCCCAGTGACAAGACTAAGCCCCATGATCGGCAAAACAGCGATGAAAGCCCACATAATCGCATCCTTCCCAGCCATCCTCACGCTCCTCTGCGCATCAGCCGGCAAGTCCGCAATGTACGCCAAAGAGTTCGTATCATGGACATCAATATCCCCACCGGCAGCGCCCCCGGACACAACCGACGACTGGGTGAATTTGTTATTGAAAACACTGCCCATGATAGTCAGACAGAGAGTACCGCCAAACGGCTGCGCGAACCGCATCAGCGACTGCGCGGGCGCGATCTTCTCCGGCCATACGCCCACCATGTGCAACGTGGCGGGCATGAAGCGGAGCCCTGTTCCCGCGCCGGTGATCGCCATCATGCCGTTGATTAGGCTGGTGTCTTGTGTGTGGATGGCGTATACGACCATGGCGAGGCCGACGGTGCTGATTATTGTGCCGATGTTGAGGGGGAAGAAGCTTTGGGCTGGCCAGACGTTGCAGAGGAAGACGGCGATGTAGACACCAACTATAGAGCGGTTGAGTCAGTTGGGGTACGGTTGGATCTAGGGGCAGCAGGTACGTACCTCCCATTCCGGGGATGTAGTATAGTAACTGCACGCCTGCTTTTGAGGCTGGATATGCCTCGACCAGGGAGAAGTAGATTCCGATGTAGTAGAAAATGGAATACATTGCTGCCGATGTCAGTGTACTTGCGGGCGATTTAAGGCCGATGAAGAAGGTTACCTGCTCCACTAGAGAACTGCACAATCGCTAGCCAGATCGTGTCTCTTCTGGCGAACATGCTGTACGGGAGCATGGCCACTTGCTTTGGAAAGACTCGAGCGAATATCCGGCCCGGCTCGAGGAAGTATTCGTAGACGAAAAATAAAACGAAGCAAACACTGCCCACTACCAATGGTGCGATCACCTGAGGCGCTGACCAGGGATACGTAGCTCCACCCCACGCAGTGGCTAGGATGATAAGCCCTACACCGAAGATGAAGAGGATGGAACCGATAATATCGACAGTTGCCAGAGCTGGCAGAATCCCTGACAGTCGAGAGCCCTGTTTGAACATTGTGCCTTCAACAAGTTCATTGCGCAACAAAATAAAGACTAGTATATGGGCGATAACAGCGATCTATTCCAATCAGCAATTGTGTCTCGCAGCAAGACGGTCAAACGTACAGGGATGGATATCACAAAGCAGTATCTCCAGTTGGCCTGACCCAGTTAGTTACCGGTGCATGATATGAACCACGTATGTGTCTTACATCTGTTAGATACCTAGTGCCTGTCAGCGAATTATTATTATAATTTGGAGTTCTGAATATCTTACCCGCCGACAAGTGGCCCAACAGCGTAACCTATACCCCCAACAAGGGTAAAGAGGGATTTTGTCTTTGCGCTTTCCTTCAGAGACACCTTGTCTGAGAGGATGATCATAACCACGTTCATCAGGCCGGCGTCGCTCACGCCTTGCAAGGCTCTTCCTAGTAGAAGCATTCCCCACGTCTGTGCAGCCGCACACAGCACACTTCCAATGATCATCAAAAACAACGAGAGATGGAGAGTCTCGCCACGGCCGAAGACATCGGCGAATTGGCCGAACATGGGGATGAAGGTGGTTGATGTTAGGGTAAAGGCAGTAACAATCCAGTTTAGCTCGTCAAACTCATCTGCAACAATTACTGTCAGCCCTCCAAGATGATCAACATTGACCAGGGAAAACGCACTGAAGTGGGAGGCTATAGATGGCAACGCCGTCGCGACGATTGTCAGATCCAATGTTGCCAGTATAAACGGCAGACACAGCCCTGCGATGAGCTTCCATCGATAAACGCGAGCATCATGCTTCTGTTTCTTGCAGACTTGACACTTTTCGTCGCTCTTTGGCAAGTTTTGAGGCACTAACACCCTATCCTCTTCTATAGTTGAAGGAGTTGTACCTTGAGAAGTCCGAGGATTCTCACCAGACGCTCTGGTCTGAAGCTCAACCTGGAAAGGTCGCGAGTGTGGGCAAGGTTTTTTCTCTGTAACGGGCTTCGGGATATCCTTGTTCGGATCCTGATTCCTAGACTTGATCTTTCGATGTATATATTTTGCGGCTATAAACATCTCGGCAAGTTGGGCACTTCAATAAGAATAAAACGCGATGGATTACTGGACCGGATCCAGCGAGAAAGGGGAAGAGCATTGTGTTTATATGCCATTTGAGAATACGAGGCAGAAATTGGTATGCAACTGAATTGGGTATGCTCGTCGGACAGGGTCAGCGTCAGCCACAACGTGGAGGCTTTTAGATGTAAGATAGGGCTTGGATTGGCCCGTCGAGACCCATTTTGGTTCTGCTGGTCCGAATACGATCTTACCGGATTCGGAAAGCAATTCGGAGCTAAACTGAAGCCAGTTAGACCCATATCGGCCAGCTAAGTTATAGTAGTACTTAGTAGCATCAGCCACATTCATGGTGTCTCATTTAGCACATCATAGGGCAATGTGACTAGCCGTCTAGATTGGATATCCTAAAGGTTTCTTCGAAGTTGGAAAACAAGACTACGGCCACTTTTGTGACTGAGGTATAGTTTGTTTTACAGGATTCTACAAGCATACTTACCATTCCTATTATTGCTCTAAACTGATTAGAAAATTCTACATGCTCTTAATAACTTTTAATGATATCATACATTTTTCTAGTGCTTGGAAATAAATACTGAGGCCAATTAATATCTCTCGGTCTTGCTTAGGGCTAAAGGCTGGCTATCGTAATAAACATTGATAATAATGCTATAAAGTAGATGAGGAGATAGCTTAATATTTAGGTTAAAAGAGGTGGAGTCCTGTAAGTGCATACTGAGGTTTGTATAAACAGAGTAATTACGAGATCGAGACTATAGATTCGATGTATACCTTCTGATGTGGATTTCCTAGGTATACCAACCCGTGGTACCATCAAGGGTATACAGTTAGGGCAAACCACATAAATTGAGTGCCTGAGGCCAACCAGAATAGAGATTCCCCGCCGGTCACATTAATTAACTTAAATATGAAATAAAATAAACAAAACATGGAATGACTTGCATCAGAACCGTGGGTGGCACGGAACAAACGAGATCCGTGTGGGTGGAATGATTTATGCATCTGATATCATACGATTCTTGTGCTCCCCAAAACCAGCTCAGCCCGTATATTATATTATCCATGCCACGACACCAGTCATAATCCCCCTCTATTTCGCCAACTGGAATATGAATCTACGTCCAATCCAATTCCTACTCCACCCTATACAAAACAGTATTACCAGATTCTTGACCACGATGACCACCTCACCATACTCGTTGTCGTCACCATTAACACAACCCCAGCCCGTGATCGTGGTTGGCTCCGGACTGGCCGGGTTATCAGCCGCGACGCAGCTCATCTCACACCAAGTCCCTGTCATAATGCTCGACAGGGCCGAGAAACCCGGCGGGAATAGCATCAAAGCTTCGTCGGGGATAAACGGCGCGCCGACGAGGTTCCAGCCGGGGGATGCCGATGACTCCCGGGAGCTTTTTCTCGCCGACACGGTCAAGTCGGCGGGAGATGTCTTCGCGAATTCTCCCGCCGAGGAGCATAGACGGCGGGAATCGCTTATGGCCACCGTCACGGCTTCGTCTGCTGAGGCGGTGTACTGGCTCACGGATGAGAAAGGCGTCGACTTGAGCACGGTTTGTCGGTTGGGGGGACATAGTCGCCCGCGGACTCATCGGGGGGCCGGGCAGCGGCCGCCTGGGATTTCGATCGTCAGTGCGCTTTTGGATTCTTTGAAGGCGAGTTCGCTGTTTCAGCTGCGGTCGGGGGCGAGAGTTACGAAGGTGTTGCGCGAGGCGGATGAGGTCTTGGGGGTGCAGTATACGGGTGGGGAGAAGA